ACAATCATTGAAAGTATTGAATATGAATACACCATGGACTGCCAAAAGGAAGAAAACAGTTCATCATGGAGGAGGTGCAACCAGCATGTTTACTTTGATCATCTATCAGGACAACGAGTCCTTGGAAAAAGACATCATGTTTGGGGGTAAGATAAAGTGTCCGGGGAAAGTCAAGACCCTTAATGAGATGAATTAACATGATGGTTGCAACAATGGATTTTAAGATGGCAGAGAGTATGCAAATGGTACAAGATTCAATCTGTTTTTTTAATAGGGTCACTGAGTCATCAATGATTTGACAGCAACTAACAATAAAACAGTTGTGTGGCATTTAACAACAACAACAACAACATAATGGAAGGATTTTTAGATGATTTAGGTAATTCTAAAATAGAATTATTTTGATTCTAGATTGATAGTTTAATTTTTTTGTCATCAGCTTGCTATGTTGGATGACTCATAACTTTTAAAATGATGATGATAATTAGACTTAACACAGTTATGAAATAGTATCTCTCACAGTAAGGATGTTAAGAGATTTAAGTGATTGGATAGAAAAGAAGACACTGTGGGAGGGTGGAAGGAAGCCCAACTAGAAGGACTTCATCATTGCCAATAGAGTTTGATGGTTTTGTGTGGTGGTTTGTTTTTTTTTCTTCTAGAGGTATTGTAGGCCTAGAACAACTGTGTGGGTTTCTGTGGATTTTTTGGTTTGTGTTTTTGTATTTTCTTAGGGGTCACACAAGCTTTCTTCTCCTGTTACGTCCAACACACATAAGCAGCTCTGAAAAAGAAGAGTGACCTTCTAGTTAGACAGAAGGATATGTCTCCTGGCTAATTTTACCTTACAAATATAGTGAAGACTGTGGCCCAGTCATTGACTTTTGATCTTTGTATACTTGTTTAGATTCTTTTCTAGGGAGCAGATATTAGTAACTTAACCTTCACTCTTTCAATAGAAATAGGTTTTAATTTTGGTTAATACTTTGATAGCATATGCGTGACTTTAGAGAACTAAAGATCTATTCCTTGAATATGGATTCTAGCTGCAAATACTGGTCTGTGGCATGCCACCAAAGGCAAGTATTGCTTGACATAGTTGTCCAGAAACTACAAGAGACCTGTAAATTCCTATTAACCAAAGAACTGGGATTCACAATCAGGAGTTTTTACAATGTGGTCACACATAATATACCCTTCTAGAGTTTTAGAAATTTCAGTTTGAACACGTTGTATCATAAGAAGACCCATAGAAGTTTGTAAAGCCAGTCATATAATGAAAAATCAACGAGATTTTTAAGACCAGGAGGGTTGTCAGAAATTTCTTGGCTTTTTATTTGTGGCCAAGTTCTCAAAAAGAGCACTGACTTTGCTTTGGGTCAGATGAAGTCATGATTAGTAATTTGGGTTGGATTAGATTTTGCTTAAATCATGTTGGTAAAGTTTAATTTCCTGATCCAAACTTTGGAGCCAAAAGAACATACACTTATATACTGTTTATCCTCAATCCCTCAAGAAATTTAAAAATAGATAGATTGGGAATTTGAAGGAAATAAAATAGGAAATGAAACTGGAAGGAGCTTACAGGATATCAATAGAAGACTTAGAAAAATGTTTGTAGTCAACCGCAGATTATTTATAGAGCTCAATGCATAAATTAATACATTTGATAAATAAATGAACATGGTTTTAAATATTGAATCTTCTTCTCAAGGATAGGAGGATGTTGCTATTAACAGGGGCAACCATAATTGTGTATCTTGGTCAATGACTGATTTAATACTACTTATCCATAGAAATTGCCTGCACTAATGCATACCTATGAGTTAGAGTAGAACTACCCATAGGGTTTCCAAGAGTGTCAATCTTTATGGAAGCAGATTGCCTCATTTTTCTTCCACAGAATGACTGATAGATATGAACTTTTGTTGAACAGCCAAATTCTTTTACTGAAGCTATATGTTAGGACAGAAGGAGAATTGATGCTTTTAAGCTTTGGTGTTGGAGAAGAGTGCTGAGGGTGCCATGGACTGCTAAGAAAATAAACCGATTCATCCTGGAGAGGGTTAAACCAGGCTGCTCCTTGGAGGCAAGGATTCTGAGGCTTCGTCTGACATACTTTGGTCATGTTGTAAGGAGAGACTGGTCCTTGGAAAAAGAAAGACATCATGCTTGGGAGGGTGGAGGGCAGGCACAGGAGAGGAAGGCCCTCTGGGAGATGGATTGATTCGGTGACTGGGGCAATTGGGATGAGTGTGTCAGAGACAATGAGATTGGCACAGGACAGAGCAAAGTTTAGAGCTGTTGTACATAGGGTCGCTATGAGTCGCAAGCAACTCAATGGCACATAACAACAATAACAACAACATATGTTATTGTTGGCAGGTAGGACTCATAGCTACTCTATCAACAGATCTGATGATAGAAACAGGTCTGGTTTCTGGTAGTGTTCATTAAGGTATTTTTGTGAAACCCTGCTGCCCTATGATGTGTCACCCTCATCATCTTTTACATACTTGAGCCATTGCTGCAGCCACCATGCCAGTTGTTGTTGAGGTCTTCTCCTTCACTGACCTTTGTAAGCATGGTGTCCTTTTCCAGGTAATAGGTTGTCCATAAAGCCTGCCCAAAGTGTATGAGTTCTGGTGGCTTAGTGGTAAGGAGTTGAGCTGCCACCTCAAATGCATGTGGTTTGAATGCACCTGTTGCCTTCTGGGAGAAAGATGAGAAATGCCTCCTGTATGATTAATTGCAACTCTGAAGACCCACTAGAGGGTCAGCTATGGTACCCAACAATTGCAGCTATCCATAGGTAACATAAATTACTAGGTAATTCAAAGCCTCTTTTAATCTGTTTAGTGTTAGTCTAATTATTAATGTGTATTTTATAATATTTGATAAGAAAAAATCTATTTCTTCTCAATTTGAGTAATGCCTTATCCAAGCCATGTTCTTTTCAGTTGCTACTTATGCATCTGAAAGTTGAATAATGGATAAAGATAACAGAAGAAGAATCGATGCCTTTGAATTGTGTTGTCAGAAAGATTACTGATTATCTCATGGATTGCCAAAGGAACAAACAAGTCTGCCTTGGAGGAAGTACAACCAGGATTCTCCTTAGAAGCCAGGATGAAGAAACTTCATCTTACATAAATTGGCTATGTTGTCAGGAGGAGACCATCCTTGGAAAAAGAGGGTCAGAGGAAGAGAGGAAGACTTTCAGTAAGATGCACTGACACGGTGATGGTAACAATGGCTTGAGCATATCAGACGTGATGGAGATGGTACAGGTTAGGGCAAGGTTCACATTTCTTGTTCATAGCGTCACTATGAGTTGTGGTTGACTCAATGGCACCCACCAACAATATATTAACAAATTAAGGTCTTGAAAGCTTCGCTTGATCTAGGTCTTTAAGGTCATCTCTACTTTGAACAAGTAGATTTCCATAGTTTTATTTTGAGTGTCTTCTAACCTGAGGGCTCATCTGCTAGCACTCCGTGAGACAGCCTTCTGTTATTATTAATAATTATGAATAATTATTAACTGGCTTTTTAAAAGATAATTGGATTTCTTAGTCCTTCTTCTTGACCTGTCTTAATCTAGAAGCCCCATCAAACCTGTTCACCATGAATAATCCTGCTAATATTTGAAACACTGATAGCACAGCTTTTAGCATAATAGCAACACATAAGCTATCACAGTAGGACAAACTGACAAGCATCCACCAATAAATAATTAATATTAAAGATTGCTATTAAAAATACTGTGGACTTCCAGAAGAGTGAACAGTATGGAAGAAGTACAGCTGTATGCTTATTGGAAATGAGGAGATACTTTTCTCTTGTATTATGGAGAAGGGGATCATGCACAGTGAGGTAGAGGCAGTGGAAAATGAAGACAACTCTCAATGAGATAAATTGACTAGGTGGCTGCAACAGTGAGCTCATACAGGACAAGGATTATGAGGATGGTGCAGCCCCAGGCATTGTTTTTTTTCTGTTGTACATAGAAGTTGCTATGGGTCAGAACCAACTCAATAGCACCCAACAACAATAGCAACAGCACCCAACAACCACAATGTTAGTTCAGCCCTTCATAAAACCTCCTTAGCAGGCCTCTAACAAAACAGACTAGCTTAAAGAGCTATCCTTGTTATGTCCCCTGCATACCATCTGTTCTAGATGTTAATGAATCATGAAATGCCCCAAAGCAAGAGGTTGAAAGAGGCAGAGAAGAGCAGAGGCCCTGAATTATCAGAAAAAAGGAATAATATCCTCAGGCTAGTGGAGAGTTGTTAGGTCAAGTGTATAATCAAGTGAAACAAATAAGGGGGTGGGAGCAGCAAATACAAGAATTATGAAAGTGAAATGCATGCTAGTTTTCAGAGAAACCCTATAGATAAAGAATGAAAGCTTTGGTTATGATTGTTATGGGATAGTGAATAGAAGATTGTGGACCATATAGGTTGCTGTCAGGTCCTACTGAGACAATGCTGGTTCATAGTGATCCTCTTATGTACATAGATAGAACCATCTCTGATCCCACACCATCCTCACAGTCTCTCTTGTGACACTTGTTGCAGACTTTGTGTTAGTCCAACTCTTTCTTCTTCTCTGATCTTTCCAAATGTGCTGTCCTTTGCCCAAGACTGGCACCTCTTGAAAAAGTACCCAAATTACGTGAGATAGAGTCTCCCTCTCTTTTTCTAAGAGCACCCTGGCTGTAATTCATCCAGTGCACATATTTTTGTTCTTTTGGCAGTTCATGTTATTCATGAACTCTTTGCTAACACCAAAATTCAAGAGTGAGAGATGTGTCTTACTAGGTCTGTGTATGCATTTATGCATTTAATATATGTATCTTTTGGGGGGGAGATTAGTTTTTCTTTTGAGTGAATGTTTATAAATCATGTTGATTTTTAAGACGTTACTCATAATCATCTTGCTTTATACATCAGTTGGCATTGATTACTAACATGTGTATTTGATGTTGGTTTCAGGATTCTGAAAAGCGAACTCCCCTTCATGTGGCCGCATTTCTGGGAGATGCAGAGATTATTAAACTCCTGATTATGTCAGGTAAATAACCACTGTGCTCAAATGTTAATTGCAAATAAAGATTCAAAGTAATGAAACTAAGTTATTGATGTCCGTAGGGTCTCTGAGTCGTAGTCGCACCTGATGGCACCTGGAAACAGGAGTGTCCTGTCTTGTGCCATCTGCACATCCACACGATGTTCAGACCCATTGTTGTAGTCACTGTTTCAGTTCATCCCGTTGAAGGCCTTCCTCTGCTCTCTGCTCGAACCCATTTGATTTCTTTATTATGCTCACTAGAGTTTATTTGATCAATTCTTTTATCAGAATATAAAATATAATGTCAGAAACTAGTTATTTCCATCAAAATTTGATTTGGCCATTAAAAGTTTTACCTTGCTTTGAAAATATGATTCCTGGTTGTATCAGATTCAGTCTGAGAGATAAACTCAGTATACTTTAATATATCTTAATTTTCTTAAGCTGTAGAATGTGTTTATATAAGTATACATGTGTTTATTTAAATAATGCTGTAAAGTAATACCATATTTTATTTATGGATGCATGATTATGCTGTTAAAAAAAAGTAGATGGAAATAAATATAACAATTTGGAGACAGTGGTTGCCTCTGAGGAAGCTGAGTATGGGAGACGTTAACATGGAAGAAGACTTCAAATCTCTGTATGGTGTTTTATGTCATTTTTTTAAAAAATTAGAAGTAAAAATAGTGACCCCATTAAGTCTGGTTGATATGCTCATTGGTGTAGATGGTACAATTTTCTTGAATTTTTCAATATTTCATTATCTTAAAAGATGCTATTGTTTTCCTTTTTGTATCTTATATTCTCAGTACATCTCTCTCACCAAACAAGTTTCCCAAACCTTTTTGTGCCTTCTCCCTTGAGTGTTTGCTAGAGAGAGCCCTGCCCTGGATCTGAGCACATGCACCCCTCTAGGTGTCGACTGTATACAGGCAGGCTGTCTTTCTCCTTCCCTTTTCTTTGGGGAGATTGAAATCTGAAGGAAATGCCTCTGCCCACAGACTATGCACGAGACCTTCTGCCCACAGACTATGCACGAGACCTAAAATAAGGTTGTGACTTTGTTCGCAGTAGTGAAGGCAAACTCTAGAATTCCAAAGTAAGTTAGGCAAAGGCAGAAGCTGATACATGTATTCAAACAGACGCGGGGAGAACATGGTGGAGGAGAAACAATGGTGCTGTGAGTCAATAAGGACTGATGTTGCCCTGATTTGTTTGTTTGTTTCCAGGTTCTTGAAGTGAATTTTGCCCAAGAAACATATTTTTTTTTTGTCTTAAAATATGTGTCCCTTGTTCTCCTGACAAGTCACCTACATATAGTGTGATGTTTCATTTGCTCACAAGAACAGGCCTGAAAGAATGGCATGAAAATGTTCCAGGGCTGTATTCCAAACAAACATATATTCTTTTGGCACCAACTATGGTTAAGTAAGAACTAGGGTGCATTTGACTTGCTGTCCCAGCAGTTGAAAAATTGTGGGCAAAATGAGAGTCAGTGGCATATAAAATAAATTTCTGTAGTGTAGCAATGACTAAGAATAATAGGAGGAGAATTGATGCCTTTGAGCTGTGGTGCTGGAGAAGAGTATTGACTATACCATGGACTGCTAGGAGAACAAACAAGTTTGTCCTGGAGAGGGTGAAAGCAGGCTGCTCCTTAGAGGCAAGGATTCTGAAGCTTTGCGTGACATACTTTGGCATGTTGCAAGGAGGGACCAGTCCTTGGAGAGGAACATCATGCTTGGGAGGGTGGAGGGACAGTACAGGAGGGGAAGACCATCGATGCGATGGATTGATTCAGTGACTGTGGTTCTGAGATTAGGTGTGTCAGAGATGATAAGTTTGGTTCAGGATAGAGCAGGGTTCCGAGCTGTTGTAAATAGGTCTCTATGAGTCTCAGGTGACTTGACAGCACATAACATGAACAACAAAGTGTAGCACCTTGTAGTCCCAACCAGATACACCTATCAATGAAATATTTCAAATGTCATGATTTGCCAGTACCTCTCTGGCTGACAGTTATAGAAGCACAGGTCAAAATGGCTTTTTCTACCATTAGTCAAGGACTTAAAGGGCTTACACTGAATGGAGCCCTTTTAATTATGAAACATGAAGATTAACTTCTTTTTGAAAAGAAGAGACCTCTTTTTATCTAAGAGTGTTTTCCCCACGAATGTGCAAACACAAACTTGGTCTCAGACTCCTACAATTCTGCCGTGGCCCTTACCTCCACCTGAAAGGAAAGGTTTTAATCCTGCAGCATTACCTCATCCATTTTCTTCAGGTGTTCGAGATGGAAGGCTGGGTAAGTACTTGGTTGCTGAGAGATAGGCAGTTTGAACCTAGCTGTTCCACAGGACAAAAGATGTGACTATTTGCATCCTAAAAGATTCACAGCTAGAAGGGAGTTCTGGTGGCCTGGTGGCAAGAAGCTACACTGCAATCCCAGAGGTACACAGTTCAAATCCACCAGATGCTCTGCTGGAGAAGGAGGGGCAATCTCCTCTTGTACCAGTCAGATGTGATTTGATGGTATACACACAAAAAATAATAAAAATTTTTAAAAAAAGATTCACACCTATGAGAACCCTCTGTGGGCAGTTCTACTCTGTCTCATAGAGTCACTATGGGTCAAGGGTGTTTCTTTTTTTCCTCCTTTTTTATTTCACATCCCTTCACATGGACCTGGAATCCACCAGCCTATCTTTAACGTTGGCTGATTTGCTAGAGCTGGGAGCAGCTTGTCTGTTTCATTTATCTTGACCTGTACACCTGTTCGGTCTTAGAATGACACAGTTGTTAATGCCTCTAGGATAATTTTGGATCACAGTTGCTGTGGAATTTCTCCTTCTCTGGCCATCAAATTAGAAAGCCCAAGGGCTGTGGAGGAGATGAGGGAAATCCTTCAGAAACTTTACTCAACTGTGCAAACTCGGGCCAACTCTTGCAATTTTCAGGGGTTTAATTTTCCCTGAAAGGGCCTTAATCCAATTTGTGTATTATATTCCTAAAGAAAGATCATTGTGAGAGCATGATGAGTTCATCTCTGAGCTTGCGTCTGGCAGCTGACCCTTAAGAGAAGCCAACCAAACTGTTTTCCAATTGAATATAATGAATGAGGTGCTAATGACTCCCATGTTGACAAATACTCTGGTCCTGGCAGAGCAGCCCATTACAGCTGGATTCTTTATTGTTGTAGGAACTTACAAAGTCTAGTGTAACCCAAGCCTGCCAGATGGCCATGACCTTATCTCCTGTTAGCCAGACTGTGGAACCTGGAGTGCCTCTGGGCAGACCGGGAAGACAAAGTCTTGGGGGATGATTCAGATCTTGGAAATTTTAGCTTTTTATAACTTCCAGTCCAAATTCTGGTATTATCATACCCACCCCTCCCCCATTCCATGCCCCTAGCTTCTGTTTGAGAACTGATTGAGTCAGAATTAGGATAGAAAAGTCAAGGAGATGTATGAGTAAGATCAGTGTGAACCAATCCGTGTCTAAGCATTTAGATACTAGGGATCAGATATGGGAAGCAGAGCACACAGAAAAATGAGCGCACCATCAATACAACAGTAGGAGAAACAACCTGAGAGTCTGGAGTTGCAGAAGCCAGGAAATTCCTCCTTTGAGCATGGGTTGTTTGTAGGATATAACCAGCCAATGGTGAGTCCATTTCCATTTGTAGTGGGTTTCCCAAGGTTTTCAGGTTTCTGAGGCTAGAAACTTTTTTACTGGAGACAATTGTCATCTTTTTCCCTTGAAGCAGCCGATAGATTTGAAGCACTAACCTTTCAGTTATCAACCTCATTATGCCTCCATGTGGGATATACCTACTAAGGGGGAAAAAACCCCAAAACAAAACGTTTATTAAAACTTTAAGCGATCAATCAAGTAGTGTTCCTGCATAATGATTTCCTGTGATTTTCAAAAATGTGATTACCACTCTCACAGCAGATTGCCTCCAGAGGCAGTGACATACCATCCTTTTGATTTCCTAATGCATGACAAATACCTACTCTTTGAAGATGGATTTGATTTGTGGCTGGTGAATGAGAAGGGTGACGTAACCAGGCAATGCAGACCTGAGCCCCCAAATGTGACATGATTATAATGTAATGAGCCATTTTCTCATGGGTATGCAAACTGGCTCTAAAGACATCTCCAAAGGGAGTTTCATAAATGTTTGGAGCTATTTTCACAGACTTGGAATTAGCTTGCACTCTTCTAAGGTAATTGCTTTGAAGGAGAGGGTCCTTTTGTGCTGTGATTAGGTTGAGTATGTTAAAAAGAAAATGAAAACCTATCATCAGCTGATCTCATTTTTAATAATATTTTGGATCAGATCTTTCTTTTCTGTTATTTCCTTCTATAATAAAAAGTTAAAATTTGGATAGATCCAATCTTCAAAATCCATTTTACTGTTTGGTCCAGTGGCTTGGTTAGTCTTTTAAAGAGCCCAGGCGGGGGTGGGGGTGGTGGTAAGTGTGCTCAGGTTGGAACCAGTCCATAACTGACCCTCCTGAGCATTTTCAGAGGTAGTAAATTGCACGAGAGGACATTCCTGCTTCCTCCCTCTGGGCAGCTGGTGGATCCAAATGATCTTCCTTTGAGTTGACAGTGTATAATATACTGGGTTTCTAACAGCAACAACGACAAAAGATCTTCCTGCACCAGCAAAGTGTGTAGTCAGGGACCCCTCCAAATTATTGAGGAACCAGGATGTCAGTTTGAAGAACAATGGACACCAGATTCAGGCCATGTACTTTTCATTCACTTGCTTTGCATCTGAGAGCTGGACAGTGAACAAAGATGACAGAAGAGGAATTAATGCCTTTGAGTTGTGGTGGTAGAGAAGAGTACTGAACATCCCACGGACTGCCAATGAACAAAGAGATATATGTCTTGGAGAAAGTGTAGCCAGAGTGTTTGTGGGAGGCACAGATTACAGAACTTCCTGCATACTTTGGGTATGTTGTTAGGAGAGGCAATTTCTTAGAAAGGAATATCATGCTTGGAAAGGTTGTTGGGATTAGAACCAACGTTATTAGGGAGGCAAAAGTTACATCAGAGCCAGGAAGCAGACATTGACATACAGGAAAACAGTACTTTGGGCGCATGAATGATGTCAGATGAAGTGGACACTTTGGACCTGAATGACATCAGAGAACAGGGACCAGAAGGAGGCCTGCCCACTAAACTTTGAACTCTCTGTGGCATCATTTCATTGGCTCAGGCTCGAGCCCCCAGGTCTGCCCAGAGAAGGAACCATATATAGAGATTCAGCTCAAAGCAAGAGGCTTTTCCCCTTACCTCTTTTCAAAGAGGAAGGGTCTGTCTCTTTGGGGATGTAACGTTCTAATAAAGCTGTCATTAGTATTTACCCTCATTTCTGCCTCCTGGCCTCTTTCTTCTCCTCCCTCCATGTTAATGAAAGACTTCCACCTGTACTTTAATTCTGTAGACACCAAAGTCTGCTCTCCCAAGGAACACTAAAATTGCTGTACTCTGTACCACCTTGGTACTTGAATACTCCTCTTACCTCTGTCTCTTCCATCGGGTAAGTTCTTTGGCCTTTGTGAGAGGGGCAAACTAGGGCATTCCCCACACAATAACAAGGTGGTGGGCCGTGAAGGAGAGAAAGAACCTTACCCAGGTGGATAGACACAGTGATTGCAGCAATGGGTTTGAGTGTGGCAGAGATTGTGAGGATGGCACAGGGCATAGATCTGTTGTTCATTGGGTCCTTATAAGTTGACCTGATGGCACCTAACAACAACCAAAATTTGCCATTTGGGATCCACTTGATATCCCTTTGGCAAGAAATGGCCAGTCCCATAAAGATTTATAAACTTAAACATTCTTTTGAGGTCCCTATGAATCGGAACCAACTAAGCAGTGAATTTGCGTTTTGGGTAGCTCATCTTTTTCTTTACTTTTTCTTTTTTTGAGAGTTTCAGATTTTTTAATTCTTACAAGCAAGTCCATTTTTTTAAATTTTTTTTATTAATTATAATCAAAGTTTACAGAGACTTAGGGTTTATATTCATATTCATTGTTGCACTTCTCTCCCTGCCTACCCCCTCACCTCCAATTTGCTCTTCTCTTTGGAAAGTAAAAGGAAAATTCTTTCATTGTTATACAGTTGGGATATATGATTGAGTGTTATTGTCATGACAGAAGTCCAGAATGAAGGCTGCACAGTGGAGTGGACTGGGGATAGGGGGGAGGTAGCTCATCTGTGTCCGCTGTCTTCTTCTTTTCGTTAAACTTCTTCCTAGATGAGGCTGAGAAAACAGAAATTTTGCCTCAGGACACCATGCTCAGAATTTCTTTGGTTCTGACTCTATGGAAAGATCATGAAGAGTTACTGGGGAGGAGAAAAAGAGCATGCTTAACTTGTAATTAAAATTTAAGGTTGATAGTTTTTAGTTGGGCCTTTGTTTCTGAAGCACTGGGACAAGCGAACCCTTGCTTTCATGCTGAATGAAGCTTTAATAAAATTTTCCTGAGTAAAAAGCATTTGCCTTTAAATCATTACATATGCAGACCGTGTCCTTCAGCACACAATGGAGGCGACAGGCAGGTAAATAACATGCAGCTTCCTTTAGAAAAATCCATCATAAATATTCAATCCCGAGCCATGACAGAGGCACCCTCTGACACGTAAACCAGAGGCTGGCTGTGCTCAGAGGAGGAGGATAAGGAAGTGGGGAGGGCACTGATAAACTGCTGCACGATCGTCCTCCTTGCAGATAATTCAGATTTTGTTGTAATATTTTCACTTGTGGGTGAAAGAGACTATTTTCCTGACTGATGTCTGTGAGACCTCTTTGAAGAGGATGAGTGCGGGAATGGAGGCCTTTAAACAGTGGCTGAAAGAAACAATCTCATAGGTTTCTAATTGCCTTTCCATTCCTCAAGTGATTTCCAAGCAGCTCACAGCAGCGCTGCTACAGGCTGGGAGCTCAGTACTCTGCTTTCTTGGAGGACTCTTAATGCTACAAGCCACATTTGGATCTATATGAAATAAAAATAAAATAAATAGTACATGTTAGCCATAACAATAGTATAGTAATAATGCAATATATTAAAATTTAAAAGTAATAGTAGAAATGGGGAAAATATGCGAAGAATATGAACAAGTTATTCTCTGAAAATTAATTACAAATGAATGACAAACGTATTAGACGATGCTCAATCATATTAATTAGGAAATTTTTTTAAAAAATCTCATATTCTTCCAATAGGATTTGCAAAATTTAAAATGACTAATTCTATTAAATGGAAACTCTGGTGGTGTAGTACATAGCAAGTCAGACTGTTTCTGAAAGGCTGTGTGATTTAGATGGTTAGAGTCTACCAGTGGCTCCACAGGAGAAAGATGGATAGTCTCTTCCCAGTAAGATTTACAGTCTTGGAAACCTGGTGGAGGACCAATATGTATCAGACATGTATGTATGTATCAGACATCTGATATGTATAAGAACTGACTTGATGGTATAGAATTTTCATTTTGCTCTTTTATGTATGTTTATAGCAGTGTTGTTTAATCAAGGAACTGTTAGAAATATTTAAAATATTTCTCAAGATAGGGAATATCTGAAAATAATATGCTATGTGTATATGGGAGAATACAATTAAAATGAGTGGACTTGTTCTGTAACTGTCAGTGTGGAGAGCTACTGCCCCGAATTGATTCTGCCTCACAGTGACCCAGCATTGGGTTCCCAAGTCTATAAATCTTATGGAAGGAGGCTATCTATCCTTCTCCCTCAAAGTGGCTGGAACTGCTGACCATCTGGCTCTCAGCCCAATACCTTATACACTATATTGCCAAGCCGCACATCTGCATACATAGATATAAAAATCTATTGAGTGAGCAAAGCACTGACCCTCCAAAAAGGAAGCTCATGTTGAAGTAGATGAGATGGAAATTCCTACAGATTATATTTAAAGAGAAATGCCCTGTTATCTATGACTGTATATTTGTATAAAGTTTTTAAAGAGATAACTGGTAGTAATAATAGTTGTTGTTGTTAGGTGTCATTGAGTGGTAGAGCTAACCTTTAAATGTACGTTTTAAATTTATGGTACATTTCATCCCATTTACAAAATGGGGTTTGTTCCTAGCTACCACAAAATTTTTGCATTGAGGATGTAAAGGAGAGTAGAATGTTTTTCTATCAGTCATGTTTTTCACCAACACTGGGATAAATTAAAGAATCCTAAACTCTGGTTCCAGGAAAAAAATAAGGATGGAGTAAGAGAAGGAGGAGGGGAGTAAACTTGGAATTGTGGGGAATTGTGAGGTGCCATTGAAGGAGCGTATCTCTGCTTTCCTGTGGATTAGTTCAGCTGCGGTACATCTGTGCCATGGTGGTGACGTGGCTCACGGGGTGCTGAGCGTGAGGCACATCTCTGAGGGGGAGCTGCTGACTCGGGACAGGTACTTGAGTCTATGTGCTCACCTTGTAGTGTAAGAAATCCTCATGCACTTAAAGATGCCTTTCAAAAGCTCTGTAGAAACTGGTTTCTTCCTGCTGAAATATCAGACTAGTACCACAGAAATATTTGGGGTTCATGGATAAAGGAAATTTCTGCTGATCCCCTCAGCCCAGAACAAGATCTCATCAGAACTCAACTTCAATAGATTTGTTGGAAATCAAACTCTCAACCAGTGTGCATTCTTTGAAAGGTTGTTTAACTAGTACTTTTTTCAAGGATGTTATCACTTGTATTTTATGTACTTCGCCACCAAGATTCCTTACGTTCAGGGACATATATGTATATTTCTGAAGAATTCTTTATTTCTCAGAACTCTTATTTCCATAAGCCTATTTTTTTTTTTTAGCTCTAGTGATGCTTTCATATTATGTTGTACTTCCAGTCAAAAGGCCTTGCATCTCCATCAGTTCAGTCCAACAGTGGGTCTACAGGACAACAATGAGCAATCTATTCCTGTTAAGATTTTCAGCTTCAGAAACCTAATAGAAGATTGCTGTGAGTCACAATCGACTCAGTGGCCGTGTGGCACAGTACTTGTGGGTTATTCGTCTGTGTCTCTTGCACAAAAGGGAACTGCATCTGTAGCATTTTCTGCTCTTGGCCTTGTTCCCTCTACTGTGCTGGATGTGTAGAAAACACACAGGAAAAGCAGAGAAAATTCCAAGCTGGTGAGATACCAGGTGAAAGGGAGAAAGTGCAGAGCATCTGATTTGGCATCAGCATGACTTCCCTAGACTCTGATATGCCTCTAATCTCTGCTGTTTGGTTCCAGGAGCTCGTGTGAATGCCAAGGACAATATGTGGCTGACCCCACTGCACCGGGCTGTTGCCTCCAGAAGCGAAGTAAGTAGTATCTTATTTAACCTAGTGCTTCTTATTCTTAGAAAGAGAAGAATTATTTCTGTAGAATTCAGGACTCTCATCAATGAACAAGAGGCCTTTCTCTTTATTGCACGAAAGTTATAAAAAAATGTGATAAAAACTATTGTTGTCTACTGTTAGAACCCTCCAGCAGGCTTTCAGGGGCAGTAAATTACACGGAGGAGATTGTCTATTTTTCTCCCATAAAACAGTTGTCTGTTTGAATTTGAACCATGCACCTTTGGTATGGTAGTGCAGCTCCTTACCACTAGGGCAAAAAAATGGGTAGCTATTGATTTGTATACTTTCTACAAGCCAGACATAGTGCTAGAGGTGGCTGAGATAGACCAAGTACACCACATTATCCTTGACTTCATGAGTTCTCACTCTGGTTGCAGTTGTAAATGGATAAGTACATCATTAGACTATTATAATTAAATTGGAAGAGGAAGCCATTAATTGCCTACCTCAATAGAGGAAGTCTCTCAAGAAGAGATATCAGCTGATGAAGTTTGAAGGATGATAGGGACTCCCAGGTAAGGAGAAAGAATGGTAACTGAGGCAAAGCAGTAAATGTGTAAGAGACTAGAGCATCAGAGAACAAATAAGGCTTGGTTTGACGTGACTCTTGAGCATGTAATAGCAGAAAGGTATGAGGGTAGAGGCTAGACCAGCCCACAGAATTCTGAGTGTCCTCTGAGCTGTGGGGAGTTTCTAATCAGGAGTTTTGGAAATGACTGTGTTGGCAGCATGGAAATAGCCTGGAGGGAACAAATTCTAGGCTGGAACACCACTGTAAAGCCAAGGAGATCTGAGTAGGTAGAGAGGAAGGTATGGAGAGAAAAGGTGAGGTGGAAAAGAAGCTGAGCGATCCAAGTGATCGGTGACCTTATGAGCTCAGAAGGCGCAGAGGGGAGAAGGGGAGGCAGAAAGCTATTCAGTTCTGTTTGGGCATGCTGAATTTAGCAAACGTTACACTTTAATGGAAGCTCAACAAAGACAGGGATTCGTGTTTTGTTCTCTGATGTGTCCTAAGCTTCCTACATTGAGAGTGTTCAGTAAGTCATCATTGAATGATGAAAATTCAGGTGAAGATGGGTAATAGACAGCTGTCATATAGTTAAGAACTCAGGGAACAGAGCAAATGAATGGTGAAACTGTGCTAAGGGGATCTGCTAGTTTCAGGGGAATAGAAAGGATGAGAAAGTGAGAGGAAGGTGACAGGAAATCCTAGAGGATATCAGTCCTGCACTTGGCCAGAAGAGAGGCTCACCATCCAGGGATATAAGGGGTTCTAACTTTGTATCTACCTGGAATTCAGTGTGTGACCATTAGCCAAGTGACGCGTCTGCTCTACTCCTGGAGAAGGTGGTGTTCTCCAGGTCCTTCTGCAAGTAAGAAGTGTTCCTAAGGAAGGGGTGTTACTGAGAAGATGTACGTGGAAGTTGTAGGTGCCCACAGCTTTGCCAATGTTAGGGTTTCCTGTTGGGCAACTAACCAGAAATTTCAAAATACACTTCTCAGGTCGCTGCTGTTTTGGTGCCCATCATCCTCCTTGCAGTGCTGTGTGATTGGAAATAGGCTCCGTTTTATTTTGTTCTAAGAGGCAGCTTGTATCTTTCAAAGTAACTCACAGGAATGAAGGGGGTAAAGGATCCTAAACTGCCTGACTTAGACTCTGGAGAATTCAGAAGCTTCTTATGTTCTTATCTGGAATAACAAGAGCAGTGGGCTGTTTGCATTAGTATGACCAGTTTTCTGTCTCAACATGGAGAAGTACTTCTTAGTCTTTTAAGAATGTTTGAGCTTTGGGAAATTTCTTTTGAAGTTTTCCTTTGGCAATATAGGCTTTGTTTCTTCTTTTAACAAGATCTAGGTGAAGCTTCTTCTGACATACTTTGGACATGTTACAAGACAGGACCTTGGAGAGGCATGTTGTGCTTGGGCAGGTGGAGGGACAGCGCACGAAAGGAAGACCCTTGATATGATGGATTGATTTAGTGACTAGAGTAATGGTGGTAGGTGTGTCAGAGACAATAAGATTGGCACAGGACGGAGCAGGGTTTAGGGCTTTTGTACAGAGGGTCACTATGAGTCGCAGGAGACTCGATGGCACATAACAGAAACAACAACAAGCCATCTTAGTGTTGTGGTTTTGTTTTGTTTTTAATTACTACAAAATCTCTTTATGCGAACCAATGTGCTTGGTGATGGAGGTGCAAAGAAAAATAAGACACATGGTTCCTGCCCTTAGGGAACGTGAAATTTTAGGAGGGGTGTCTTTCTTTCTCTCTCTCTCTCTCTCTGTCTCTCTCTCTCTCCATTATTATATGACTTTTCCCAAGTGCTTTTTACCCTTTTAAGATTAACTAGTGGTTATTTCCAGGCTGGAAAGATGAGCTGAATGGCTGGATGCTGCAAAGGTGTGTTTTCTGGTTTGGGGTTGAGACTAGGGTGTGGCTCTTGCTCACAGTAGGGTGTGAGATGATCAGATTCGGCCAGCCCTTTAGAAAGGCTTTTGGGCCCTTGGGTCTAAGGCTCTTGGGCCTGGTTTTTGTGGATCTCCTGAATAAAAATGACTTGGAACTAGGAGTGGCATCCACTTCCAAAAAAGCTTGCCTCTGGAAACTCTATGAACTTAGAGAAAAGATGGACGTTTTATATTCAAGAATTTCATTCATAGGGTCACTATGTATCATCTACGACTCTACGGCATTTAACAACAGCAGTGGCAAAGGCACACATCCTCAAACCATCCATTTTGCATTAATCATCAGCCGACTTTCTTTACATAACTTTATTGTTGTTAGATAGTTCTGGCAGCCTAGTCAGCTGGGAACTGTGCTGCCAACACAAAGGCAGGAGGTTCGAATCCATCAGCTGGTCTGCGGAATAAGATGAGTATTTTCCTTTTGTGTGATTTACAACCTCTGAAAACCCACTGAGAGATCAGCTATGAGTCAGATTCAGCTTGACTTGAAAGAGTTTTTTTCGTTTTTATTGTTGTTAGGTGCCATCAAGTCACTAATAATTCAACAGAACAGAGTTTTGGTAGACCCTATTCCATTCTGTGCTTGAACCACTGTTACAGCCACTGTGTTAGACCCTCTTGTTGAGGATCCTCTTTTTTACTGACCTTCTACTTTGCCAAAAAATGGTATTATTCTTCAGGAACTTGCTTTTCATAATAACATGCTCATTTTATGTTATTATGAAAATAGGTCGTTCACTCCCTTCCCTTCTCATGGCATTCTCACTTACACTTCGTTCAAGATTGACCTGTTTGCTCCTTTGGCAGTCACTGATATGTTCAATACTGTTACCAACACCGTAATTCAAAATAAGTCAACTCAGTGATGAATCAGCTTTCAAATCTGAGGAAGGCGTTGATTCCTTCTTCAAGTAACCAGCTCCCTCTGCAGTTTTCCTAGGGAATAAGAAAATAATCCCTTTCAGGAGTCGCATGTCTGGAAGGAATTGGTAGAGATGAGAGCTTGCCTTTATACTAGTATCTGTCACAGAAATTGAAAAATTTCCTAAGCAAGTTGATGTCTTTCTTACCACTGTCAGCACTGTCTGTACTTTGCACATTGTCACCTAACTCCATATATGTACAGCATACTTCCTTCTTTTGATCTCAGTCCTATTAGCTTTACTTTTGGGTTCCTATAAACAATAATACAACAATAGCCCCAGCATAGAAAGAGAGCAGTTGGCCTAGCGGACAGAAAGTCATGCTTCCAAGCAAAAGGTGGGTGACTCTACTCCATGGCCCTCAGGTCTGCCTTTAATTATTTTTGGTGAAACATTCTTCGAGGTCATATAACCCTGGTATGTCCACTTGCTGTACAGAGGTAACTCGTGGTTGCTGTGAAGCTGAACACTGTGACACTGATGAGTCAAATGCAAGAATGGCTACCCATGGCGGACAGTGTTTGGTGGAGCTCCCCGATTAAAACAAACTTGGGAGCAGGAATGGCATCTACTTCCATAATAGCTTGCCTCTGGAAAGCCTGTGAACCTGGAGAAAGAACAAAAGTTATACAAGTGTCCAGGACATTTGTTCATAGGGTCGCTATGAGTCGCCTATGACGGTACTTAACAACAACAAGAATAAACAATAATTGGGGTGGGGGGAGACAAGTAGTCTTGAAGGAAAAGAACAGAGAATATTTGAGGTGGTATTTGGGGATTTGGTTATTGTACTACCCAAGAGCTTCCATGCCTTCAGAATGAGAGTTAGCACATTGGTTTATTCCTTAGATTGGCAAGCACCCATATTATTTACATGAATGTTTATGAAAATTATTTCTTCATTGAAAGGCTTATTAGAAACTATACTGCCTTAAAGATCCTTTGCTTCTGGAGAATAGATGATTAACCATGCAAGGTCCAATCAGGGAAGCAGAACCATGAGAGATATGGAATGAGTGAGTTGCTGTAGGAAATTAGACCTCACACGATTGTGCAAGCTGATAACGAAGTCTGTACAAGACTGTACCCTCAGTTTCTAGGGGACCCTGATGCTAGTGAAGGTCGGCAGGCCCAGCAATTGAAAAGCAAAACTAGATGTGAAACAGCAAGAGTAAGTTCAGGCTGCAGTCTGTGTCCTCTTTCCTTGTGCCTCCAACATTGAGGACAGGAGTGGCTTTCAGTAGGAGCTGGAGTGCTGGAGCTTTACACAACTCTGCTCCAAGAACAGGAGAAATTGGAGGAGGCGTTCCAGGATCTGAAGAAGCATCAACCCTGTGCCAACAGTTGGCCCAACTGATCAATGACATCATGTACAAGCTAGGACAGCGCCCAGCACCCTACACCCCTGTGGTGTCACCTATGCTTTCTAAAACTCATGCAGGTTTCTGAGATCAGCCCTAAACAGAACTCTGTAAGAAAAGGAATGCTGGGAAGTGTGCTTCAGCTTGGCTAAGTTGACACAATACAGAGAACCCTGCTACTTAAAGTGCTATTTTCTTACTTTTTTC